CTCTCTCCCTCTCTCTCTCTCTCGCCCTCTCTCTCTCTTTATAAATTCATGGGGCTGTGCCTCTCCTTAGTCGCAACATTGGCATTGCACATACAATGTACATTTTTGATCAGCGAATCCAAATTCGAACCCTATATACCTACATTGTATGCACCGTTGCTTGATCATGTTGCCGGCAGTCACCTCTTTCACGAATCTAATCGCGATTGGTCGCTCTAAGCTCTGCTGGTGAGACTAAACTGGGTCAAAACTGCTCGCTGCTCGCAGATGAGATATGCGTGATATTTACACACTTTTGTGCTTTTCCTTTTTGACAACAAACCTACAAACCATCATGTGCATAATCCAGCACAAACGCACATGGAGGCACAAACGCACATGGAGGCACATATCGATGGCAGCAGAGGCAGTGGAGGCGAAGGAAGAGCGGTCTCGCTATCAACACTGCTCGTGCGCGCCAAAACAGAAAAGGTGAGACAGGGAATTGTGTACTAGTACATAATACGTGTGTCTACTACAGTGCATGCTGGCAACTGGAATCCGACCCCCTGGCCGATGCCCCGCGCCGCCCGGGGGAGGGGGGGGGGGGCGGATTCCAGTTGCCAGCACTGTATTACACAAAACGTGTGTCTACTAGTTCTCCTAGAGTTTAGGCGACTAGTGAGGTGATGCAGCTGTATTGAATTACACCAAGAGTACATAATTATCGCCATGTTGTTACGTACTCTTGATTATACGCACAGCTGTATTGAATTACACCAAGAGTACATAATTATCGCCATGTAGTTACGTACTCTTGTCTTGATTATGCGCACAAAGGAAGGTGTTCTCCTGCTGTGCACGAGACAACATGTGCACCTGCGAGACGATACATCGAATTTCAAACGTCCCTTAATGTCACGTCCCACGTCGAGTCTATGGCTTGATTGGCTGCCATCTGCTGAGCACCTACTTGCCTTCAATCACGGATAGCATCTCCTTTTTGTTCAATAACTGTATCGCTCATTACCGATGACCCCCTAGGGCGACTCTGGAAGGTGTTTACCGTGGCAAGCCCTTGACCAGGGTACCTAGACTGACATCTAAGGTGGCAAGTAGTTAGGAGTGACGGAATTCTAATGTTCAGCCACTCTTCACGAATCGTTTCTGTGTCGGCTTACTCTTGTAAGTTTATCAGCACATAAAGACAACATTGCTGGTGACTATTCTAAGAACGTTGTCTGGGGAAGTTCACCACTAAGCCTGCATTTTCCAGATGTAAAATAAAACCACTTTTGCACCCCCTTCCCATTACAAAATTTCGTTTTCAGGATGAAATTTTTTACGCCGCTGCTTGTCCCCCTCCCACTCGGGCTCCCCTTCCTATCTATTAATCTGTCGATTCATCTATCAATCATATCTTTGAAACTTTCCTAGTATCCGATCTTTTCAACCTTCTCTCTCCCCCGCCTCTCTCTCTCTCTCTCTCTCTCTCTCTCTCTCTCTCTCTCTCTCTCTCTCTCTCTCTCTCTCTCTCTCTCTCTCTCTCTCTCTCTCTCTCTCTCTCTCTCTCTCTCTCTCTGTGTCTGTGTCTGTCCCTGTCTGTTTTTCTCTCACTCTCTCTCTTCCCATCTCGCTCTCTCTCTCTCTCTTTCTCTCTCTCTCTCTATCTCTCTCTCTCTATCTCTCTCTACACAAGAGAGAGTTTGGAAGCTTTGTTACAACTCTGAGTTTCATGTATTACTACGATCATCTCTCTCTATCTCTCTCTGCCTCTCTCTGCCTCTCTCCCGGTCTTGAACCTCGTCCTAACAGCCATAACATTTCTGCCCAGAGGGAATTAATCCGGTATTTTGCATACCTACTTTGTTAAAGGTCTGAAACTCCATTGCAGCCTTGGCATCTTTACAACTAAGATCCACCTTGGCTACCCCTCCCAAACCAATTTTATGCGAATTTGCACGCGAGAAGAGCATCATCTGGGATATTGTTATTACAGTACATTATTACCACTCTGCCACAATAACGTGTTCAGAACGATACAAAGTGCAGGGAAATCCACTGCGCAGGGCACACTGAGTTGTGCTTTGATACTTCTTGGGTTTGCTAAGTGCAACACACAAGTACCCCATAGCGGCTAGGTATGCTGGTGTTCATGTTCATTCCTAGGTAAAGCGTATTCGTGTCTCTGAGATCCGCTCCTCAAGATTCTATTTGCATTCGGAGTCTTATCAAGTGAGATTACCAGAGGCCACACGGAAGGCAGACCAATATGGTGTGTATTTCCTTGGGAAGGACGACCTGTCACCTGGAAAACATATCCCTGTACGTCTGTAGTTCGGGAACAGCTGATCCTTGCACGCACGAACTGACTAAAGTACATTGTATATGTAGATAAAGTAGCTAACTGTCATGCGTGCATCACATCGTGATCGTGGAGTGTTGCCAGTATGTAAAAGAAAGGCATGTACATGTACATGTGCGTGCAGCACACTGTTATCGTAAAATGTTACCAGTGTGTAGAAAAAAATCATGTAACGTTACCTGCAGCACACAGTTATGGTGGAATGTTGCCGGTGCGCTATTGGTTTGATCGATGTGTGTGTGTGTGTCGAAGTTCTGGAAATCTTCCACGCGTGATGGAAAGCCCAAAGTATCACAACAGCTGGTGATGAAGAGCGCTCATTATCACGTAAGTGGCTCATTTGTCAGAAAACCTAGAAGTCCATTAAAAGTGGGTGCATAATTCTGAAAGGCTGAGTGTCTGTCAACTGTGTATTCACACTCCGGGGTGGCCTTCGGGGAACAATGGCCACACTAGGGGAGGCTCCTTCTATCCTAATCACCACCATCAAGACCCAGTTTGGAAAAGTGACGTAGACGGATTGCCAGCGAGAATCAAGCGTACCGCCTTGTCTGAAAATCACGAACCAGTAAGTATAGACTCAAAGCAAGCGTTAGCACTTTCAAAAAACCCAAGTTAGGATTACAATCGCAATGAATAGAATCGGCTCTGTAGTCATCACGAAGCATCATCGAAGTCGGAAGGTTTCCCTAATCGACTTTCATGTCACTATCATCAGTGGATTATCGTGGCTGAATAGAAGGCAAGCTCAGCAAACAATGAGTAATGTGTTTCCAGCAAGAAACAAAAGTGACAGAAGAGAAAGGCAAACGGGGTGAGACAAACGCAATACCAGAACAGCGAATTGAGAGAAACAAAAAAGAATAAGTGAAAACTATGTAAACCGTCAAATTACGAAATTACGAAATTACGAATACAATCTCAGAGATTCTCAGTGCAACCACATGCTTCTTTTGTTTACTAACAGAATACAGCCTCGAGAACTTTCAACGGCCCAGGAAAACGTGCATGACACAGCACTTGTTTTTCCACTGAGTCTGCTCCTTGATGGGAACTCGAAGCTGACTGCAAAATCCCCACGACGCAGCTCACCAGATAAAGAAGTTTAACGCTCTTCAATCAGTAGAGTGGAGTTGAGCGAGCTGCATATTCCGGTGCCGGAAGGCAGGTTCATGCCTCTACATGGCTACTTCCCCTTGTCTAACCCCAATACGAAATGATTGTAGCCGACAGACCGAAATGAAAATAAAGAAATTAATAAAGATCGTAGCTGAATAAGCGCAGGACGTTCATGTTGGTTGTACTCCAAGTTTCATGCCGCGTGGCAATCATCAGACAAAATTTGTCTGACGACTGCCTGATGCGCTGGTGGTATGAACAACCAACCAACCCGGAACGTCCTCCGCTGAGTCTGCTATTTACCTGGTTGTATAGGTGAGATGTGTGGAAATCTGCGAACGTGTTCGGTCCACAGACACCAGACCCAGACATGTATCATAATGCCCGTGTATATTCATGGCATGTTTTTGCAATAAACAGAACCAGCTGAAGCGTCATGTAACGAAGTTTTATTGAGATGTCACGAGCGTGGTGATGGACAAAGAAATAACTATGATGGAAATGTAATGTGAAGAACAATAAATAAATAGGAACGATGAAAAATATAAAATTAATATGCATCGAACTAGCTTTCATAGTTATTTCTTCGTCCATCACCACTTTCTCTAGAATTTGGTCGTGACATCTCAATAAAACCTTCGTGACATGAAGCTTCAGCCAAAGGCCACATTCTGCATATTGCCATCTGTTGCGGCCTGACCCGACTATTACGTCACACCACATTAT